CCTATCATAGCCAGATCCAGCACATGGGGTTAATAATCCATACAGTGTGAATACTGATAATTCAACTCACAGTTTGTACACTTTCCTTCTAGACAACATCCTTGCGTATTCTCATTAAGGCATTGCTGGTAGTAAAGAGAAAAACACTGTAAACTTTTTGGGGGTTATCTAGCGAATAATTTTTTTCTTAGTAGGTCAGCAGCTATGTCTTACAAATTAATGCAAAAAGGGATAGGCAGGTTATGAGGGAGTTCAGCTATAACATCAGTCTTGCCCATTAGTGATAAAATGCATGAATATAATTGAATAAGAGGTTATTTCTCCGAAACTGTTCATTAAAATCTGGACCAGAGGAGGAAAAGGGCAGGAAAGGTTTTTCCTGCTACTGAATGAGAATCATTCTAAATAACAGATGCTCCAGCCAATTTAAAGGCTAAATTCTCCTCTCTGATACTCACTATACTAGTTCTTTTAACTGCAGTTTCTTAACATGAGTAAGATTTCACTTGGCATGAATAAGAGAAATTCTGAACTCAAAAAGAATGAAAGAGGGAGAGAAAATTATCTTTAAGGCAGGTCTGAGAGAGAAATATCACTGTATTTGGTTCTCAAATATTTTAAAACAATATCTTCTTAAGCTATGAACAGATGGACAATTTATGGTGAGATGGGCAAAGACAGTATCAACTCAGTGAATGCCAGATGCTTTGCTGTGGCTGTCTACATGAGGTGGTTTTCACTTCAGCATAACAGCATGCATATGAACAGTTTTCACAGAGTACCTGAAACATGGGATGAGTTTGCATTTGATCTTGTTTCACCACAGCTTACATGTTTATAAGGAAAATAATTATTAGAACTTAGTTAAAACTTCAATTACTTTCAGACAAAAGAGTTACTGTGTCAGGGCAAATATACTTAAATTTCTGCAGAGTTATTCAGAAATTAAAAACCTGTCAGAAATTTGGTGAATTCATAATTAAATTAAGAACAAAACCAAATATCTGGAAAAACACCGAGTTCCAGCCTGCATTTTATCTAGAAATGGAAACTATATCTTAGTAGTAACTGTTTCCAATACATTAATAAAGTTATAAGCACAGCATTTATTTAATGGTTTAAATAGACCTTTATAAAGTTTCATTATAAGAATTACTGCAGAAGCTAAGGAGCTGCAGCCTAAGACCTACAGTATTAAAGAAAATAAATATCTAGTTAGGAATCAGAGACCAATTGATTAATTTTCATCTTGCAGCTTGTTTACAGAATAATTGCTTATGATTCTGTGTCTGGACTCGTGTTATATTCCTTAATGAACACGATGAGATATAAATAACAATGTAATGAAATTTTCAGATGACAAAATCAATTCAAGAATTCAGGATCAGAAGGGGTTGTGATACATTGAATTTATGAGGTGAACAGACAGCACCATGTCAAAGAAAATTTCGTGTCAATAAATGGAATTAAATATGTAGTGGAGGGAAAATATTAAAGATGCATTTATTTCTAAATTCACTATGTAAATCCAGGAAAGTACCTAAGTATTGCTGCAGACAAGTCAGTGAAAAACTTTCTTCCATATGCAAATGCATTAGGAAAAAGGCATAAAATGTTCTAAAGCTATTGCATAAATCAAAGCTGCATCTTGTCTGGAGTGTTGTGTACAAAACCCTTACATGATAATGTGGCACTGGAGTGGGCTAGGAAAAACAACAAAAGTCTCATACAAAGTGAAATAGGAAAGATTCAAGATTTCCTCTGAGTTTAATTAGTATAATCATGATAAGACTGAAAATCACAAACCTTAGTCAAGGGCTCTTTAGAAATGACACAGAGGAACTGGATATCTGTATGGAAATATAGTTTTCATAATTAATTATTGCACATTTAGAAATAAACTTCCTGTTTCAGGATGGAAACCAATTGCTTCTTATAAGAAAATAAAGGGAGAATTGGTAGAAGAAGACACTTCTGTGACAGTATTTAGACTAAATATCTGTTTCTGGCTATTGCTGGGTCATAAAGCTACATAGAAAGGACTGCTTTTGAGTAGGAACCAGTGTTTTCAAGATTTTTGCTACTTTCAAGATATCTTCGTGATTTTGGAAAAGTTTGTGTTTGCTCAACAGCTCAGAAAAAAGTCCTTTCAAAACACCACTATGTATGAGATTGAAGGACTGCTGGTGATCAAGGTTCAAGTTTTGGAAAAAAGTCCAAAACAATAGAACAATCTTAAACTTGAAAATTTTTTTCCTCCTTGAAAATACTTCCTGCATTATCACAGTTTTCTGACCTTTCCACTACTGGAATGTACCTTTCTTTTCCCACCTTACATTAAAAAAAAAAAAAAAAAAGAAAAAAAATTGAACAAGGTCCTCCATGCCTTGTAATGAATTTTTTAAACCTATTTACAAATCCTAAAATATGACAATGCTCATTTCTGGATTCTGGAATATTTGTCAATCTAGATTTGTAATTCCAGAACATGGTGTGTATATTCTTGATAAATGTGTTTTGCTTTGTATACTATTTATATTAACTGAAAAACTATGACTGGTTTGGATAGGCTTAAAAAAGACAGACAGATTTAAGGCTGCTAATAGAGTCGTCTTTGAAGAGCTTTGTGTGTACAAATTCCTGATTCAAGAACAAGATGACAAGTCTCATCAGTACAGAGCAAAATAAGTTGACTCAAGAATTTGTTCTTTCTCCAAATAAGCAGGGTAAAAAGCACATTGCCAAGAGCATCCCTTATATGGGAGCATCACATTTTCTAGTTAATCACTCTATTTCATGCTCTTCTCTCACTAGCTACCATACATTATTCAATAAGTAATCTGGTCTTTTATCGCTGGCAAACCAAGTTCCTTGGGTAAACTAGCCATCTTTTTGCTGCTTTTCAGATTCAGACATATTGCTCAGCTTCTGAAAAAAATGATGTAAAGGATGGAGTTCTGCCCTTTTTCATTTATTCCTTATCACTTTGCATTTGAGTAGCAGGATTTCACCAGAGCAATGCTACTGGCTACAGTGGTCGGAATGAGGCCTCTTCTGTCTCATGAGATTTGTTGAGTATTCAGTACATTCCATCAGAAAGACAGTGGCCAAGGTGAAAATTCCAGCCGATATCCCAACAGGATATAATAGCATGATAAGAGCCTGCAGCAGCAGGCCTGGAGGGGCCCAGCTCTACCTGGGGAGCAGAAGCACAGTGAGCCACATCCCATGAGCTGGCAGTATGGAAGTCAGGAGGAGCCCAGAGGTGCTCTGCACGTTCACCTATAAGCCCTTCCCAGAGTTTCAATATTTGGGGTTTCTGTTGATTTGGGAGTCACTTCAACACACTCCAAGTGGCTATACAAGTATGCCTTTCCAAAACCACCGAGGCTCCTATGGCAGTCTCTAGGGGTAACAATTACTCAATCTGCTGTAACCACAGTTTGTGAAATGTGCACAGCACAGCTTTGATACACACATTACCTAAAAAAGAGAAGTGATTGCAAAGAGTGTTAGACCCCAGAAACCTTGTGCCAGTTTTTCAGCAATTCTAGTCACAAAATCTTTTTTTTGAGCATATTCTTGAGATGCTTAAAATTTGTCTAATTCTCAAAGGAGGGTAAGTTGTAGAAAACATGAAAAATCTTTGAAATCAGAATATTTTTGTCACAGACCATTGATAAATACCATTTTAATAATTCAAGGTTTAACCAGTTCCTTCTTGATCCATTTTACCCAAATGCACAGTTTCAAGTAAAATGATTTCTCATTTTAAGAACACTGAAGAGACAGAGATCAGCACACAAAATGCAAACATTTGAAACTACTTGGGAGTAGTTCCATCTTCTGACCTCATGATCCTTGATTTCTGTCCTGTACATTATCCAATAAAGGCAGAGTTACACTTCTGTTTCATTTCCAGTTCTAGTGCCACACCTGATCCATTCATCTCGGCAGCTGAACATCCTTTTCAGGGAAGTACAGGCTCTGAATCCTAAATCCTCTCTCTTCTTTTCCTCTAAATGCTAGCCTAAGGCAGAGGCTTACTAAGACCACTTCTAACAGATATTTCAAAATAAAGTGACAACTGTAACTGTACTTTTAGATGTTTTGGTCCTATAAATATGGACTGGGGAATGGGTAGTGCATGGATTTTGAAGAGATTTAAGAATAAGCTTGGCTTATCTCCATCAGAGTTGCAGCAGTCATCTGTAAATGCAGGTAACTCATTTTAGCCACCTCATTCCTTTTAGTAAAATTTTGTTATGATTTCACAGCACTCATTGTAGATATATGCAAGGTTTTATTGGAATACTGAGCTGAGTTTTAGGGGACTTTTATTCTGTCTCCAGAGTTTTAATATTGGGCACACATGACAGCTTCCACTGAGGAACTAATTCCAGGTTTTTAAAATTTGGTTTAAATTTTAAAGTATCCATTTTCTTCCAGCCTCTTTGCCATTTTCCTTCCCACAAAACTCCTGATAGGGGGTTTAGAGGTGGTATTGCTGGATAATCAGGTCTTGAAAGTCTCAATATTTGTCAGATGCTTAGAAACATAATTTCGGGCAGTTTTTTATGTCTTTTTTAATGCATATTTTTAATACTACAATTTCCAATAGCACACATTTCTCTTAAACTGATCATGCCTCATAACCTTTATGCCTTGCCATTTCAATCTATCCTCCTCCTTCATTGCTGATTTTGAAATATTCACTCTATGACTCTATCCCATTATCAATGTCTGGAAGGAAGGACAACCATGACTAAAGCTTTGTGTGAGAATGTAGAAAGCTGGAAAATACTCTCATCAATAGCAGAGCTGGGTGTCTGTGAGGAAATGCTTCAGCTTCTTCATCTGGCAAAGAAAATTATTCCTTTATGGTATGATATATGTGGGGTTTGATATGTGCCCACAAAGGCACATGTGTTTGAATTATTTTTACTGATACTGCTATTACCTTCAATTTTGAAAACAGTGTATTTTTGGTTTTGTTTCAGCTGCAGTGAAAAAGGAGGGGGAGAAGAAAGGTAAATCAATCTTTTCCCTTGACTGAAACGTCTTTCAGGCTGTGACTGCTGTGAGAAATGTTTCTTTCATTCAGTGATACGATTGCGATGATATACAGCATTGTGATGACATACAGCACCTCCTGTGCTACCATCAGCCAACTTTATCTGCTCCTGCTGTGATAACACTGTTGTCATTTCCACTATTGGTAACTCCTTTTTAAAACAGGCAAATACAGACCAGTATCAGACACTTCATCATTCTGGCTGGGAGAAAAATGAAAGACCTTTGTAACCATGTTAGGATTTGTCAGGGAACAAAACTTGCAGTGAACCCTGCATGCTGACCTGGCCGCTTGCGCTGTGCACAAGTTGCTTTTCTAGACACATTTAATTTCCTCTTTTCACATATATAGGGAGCTTGCATGCAACCTTTGCTAAAGTAATTCTCCGATATTTTAATAGATTAGTGGAAAAATTTGCCCTAAATCAGAACAAAAAATATTACTTTTATTTAAGGATAAATATAATGTATTTATCAGACCCTAAATATCTATTTATAGTGTTGTCTTTCAGAATAAGATTTGCTGAGTAAAAACTTTTTTTTCTCCTAATTTTGTGATTTTATTCAAACAGCAAAAATAATGAAATATTTGCACTGGGGCGGTATTTTTTTTTAACCTGTTCAACTTGATTGAGTATTGGGCTTATAAATATTGTCTTTCTCACTAAATAGAGCAATCAGAATATTTTCAGAACATATCCATATATTTCTTAGGATTATTTGAGATTTTTTTAAATTCAGTCAGAAAAAAAAGCTCTTTATTATTGATGGGAGATTTGGTGGATGGGGGAACTGAGGCCTTTTGTGTCTTTTGCCATTTGGAAATTCTGTGGTTCACATAATTGAACAATGGAGCCAACCCTTATTGTCTATACATGAAGACATTTTCAATCCTACTAATTATTGGTTTTTTCTGTTATCCCTGTACAGAGCTGTTAACTGAACTGAAAAAAAAATTACAGTCTCAACTGTTTTATCAGCTCATGAGTGAAAACTTGGCTGTGTTGATGTTAGTGGCAAAATTCCCATTCACTCCACTGAGGCCAAAATTTCACTTCATGTCTTTAACAGAACAATAAAATTAATTTCAGTTATCAAAACCAGCCATGCTTAAGAGGTATTAAGCAGGATATTTTGTTCAAGATTAATTTGCAACAACTGAGGCATGAAAGGTAGCACATGAAGCAGGGAGAATCAGAAAACTGGAAGCTACTCACAGAGCCACTGGTTTTCAGATATCAAAATGTCTGCAGTTTTCAAAAACATGAACTGCTACACCCTTGGTGGAAAGAAAATAATGAGGTAGTTGTTAAGGGTGCTATTTCTCTCACCCTTGTCAGATTGTGGGCCCATTCTTTTATAGAGGAACACCAAGGGAATTTTTTTTAAACACCTAATGCTCATTTTTCACCAGCTAGGATTTTCTTCCCCCTTAACCAAAATCTTCCCCAACAAAACTGATTGAAAAATGCATTTTTCATGGACATTCTTTGAAGTTAGATCAATTTTTCCATTTCATTTTCTTTTCTATATTTCTTTTGCTTAAAAAAAATTTCCTTTGATTTCTTAGTTGAAAGGATTTTGCAACAAGTACGTGTAGGCTACTTTCATGCACCTGGCTCAGGCTGTATCTCATCCTGCTGGTTACCACCAACCTATTTCACAGAAACATGGAAGTTTGAACTGAAATTCAGTTTTAGTCATTCTTATGATTATTATCCCTCTATTTATTTTTTGGATTAAACCAGCCTCTGGTTTTCTGAGATCATAACCAACATTGTCAGCAAGGAAGGTAGTGATTCTAGTGAAAAAAAAAAGCCACAAAATGAAATCTTCCAGTGACTAAGGCAAACTGGTTCAGTGACGTTCATGCCTTTAATAGATATGCACTAAACTGAAAAACTGGAGAGAAATAATAAGGCCCCTTCCAAAAAATGAACATGCCATGCTTTAGTTGTCATGCTTCCTCATCTAGCTTCCCCTTCTCTGCAGGACCCACATGGAAAATACTGCATGCTACTAGCTGACTCCAAATATGATAAGGTTTTATTTATTTCTGCTTATTCTGTTGTCACAAGAAATTGCTCTAGGCTGCATGTGTATTCCTCTGACTGGCAATAAAAAAGGGTAATGTTCACTGGTTTTGCTTAAGGATACAGTATTTTTTGCACAGCTGCAAAAATAATAGAAGTAGCCAGGCAGCGCTCTAAATTGACTGGCTCATTATCCAAAATATATTGTGGTAGTAGCATGCACAGTTCAAACAGCACTTTACCATTTCTCATGTGAATCATACAGCACCCAGACACTGTACTCTACATGAAGCTTTCTCCAATTATTTTGTCCTATTCAAATACATCCCTCATTTAGAAAAACAAGAATAATGAGCCATACAGAGTGACAAGCCATCATAAAAGAGAAGAAGATGGAATGACGTGTTCAGTCGATGGTACATTCTGTGCATAGCATAAATCAGACTTGAAGGAGCTGGCAGGAGACAGAAAAGAACAAAATTGAGATGGAGAAAGATTACATATTGTGCTGATTTCTCCAAATATGGGTGATACTAAGAAGAACCTTGAGGCACAATTACTGCATGAAATTTAGGCATTCACTGTTTCTCTTTCAAAAGTTAGGTCTCTAGGACTTTGTGACTTTGTGACCAAAGTCCTAGAAAATGGGCAGCTTTACCTTCCAGCGTCATGTTATGCCTTCTTTCAACATGTGTGGGATAGAGAAGCTGTCACAGAAATGTGTAAATGTTGTCAATTCCAAAAGGGCAAGAGGCAGAAAACCTTTGCATGAGGAAGGCATTTCCTAAATTTCCCAAGAGCAAATCTGGCTGCCAGAGCAAAACAATTTTTAACTCTCTTTAGTAATTCAAAGCATGTGAGCAAGGAATCAAACTAATCAAAATAGACCCAGGGGTTGGTGAAGTGATATAAAGCCCATAATTTCCAGGGCATCTCCAGAAAACAATAAACAGAAATATAACATGCTGAAATATTTCAGCATTTTTTCACATTTAACTGCCATTTTAAAATTAAAGAAATATTAAGAATTTTTTGTTTGTTTTTATAAACAAAAACAGTATTTTCATATTTCAAAAATGTTTTACAACTACAGAGTGTTACAAAAATCCTTGCTTGGAATAGAGGTTGATCAAAGGAAACTTCAAGTTTTCTTAGTTCTGGATAAAGTGGAATTTCTTATTTCAATTCATATCTCCCATACCCTCTTTATTTCTGACTAGGAGAGAAATAGAGGACACAGAGTTGGGGGATGTCAAGCAAGTAAGAGTAGTGAGTTGTCTCTCCAGTCAGTGTCAGAAAGTCTTGTTTTATAGAGATTCTTTACATCTGTGTTTCTAGTGGACCAAACAGGATTCAGCCACGACATGATCCCTGTGGTTGCTCATCCTCACTAGTACATGTAAGAACACTCTCATTTCCAAAAGTGACTCGTGAACCTGAGCTGCCAGGGAGTTGTTTTCTCCAGCCTCCTTGGAGCTAATGAGCAAGAGACAGAGAACAATCTCTGCCTTGCTCCTGAGAGCACATCCAATTCAAGACCTCTGTGAGTCTCACCTGCTCTGTAGACTGCCCACAGTCAGATATTATGAAGACTTGTAAGTTAGTGAGGTGCGGGTCCTGGTTGCCTGCCAATAGCAACACTCCCATTCTGATTTTCAGCATTAACACTCTGACACCTTGCTCTTAAATTCATTTACTAGTTTTTAGAAAGAAAAATGAAAATTACATTCATGTGACAAGTATCATCAAAATAAATTGACAGGAGATTTTTCTCAATAAATGCATTGTGGTGAAAAAAATGTGTAACATCTGAGTGCAGCTAAAATCAAACAAAAGGAGAAAATGGGCAAGCCATGTACATTCAAGCTCCAAACTACATCTTTTTGTCAATTCAGTAAAGAACAATTTCCTTCTAGTACTCCTTGTAATGTAACGGTATGTATGGCCATGTGCTAGTATGCTGTTGAAACTCCTTGTAATGGTACTGTATGGCTTGGAAACTGCTGTTCTGCATACAGAGGGTGAAATAAACTGGCCAAGGCACAGTGGCATCCCTTTTCAATATATATAAAAATCAAGATGCTTTCCAAACTGAAAAAAAAACGGGGGGGGATTTCAGAACTGCTTCATTTTGTGATTGACCAGAAAAAAACTGGAAGTCAGCTATCTTATTCGTAATGCAAATGGTCATGGTAGCACGGGATTTCTGCTCAGCTGCAGATGCCACTGGTCCAAGATGAATCACAGCTTCATTACATCATTTTCTAACAAAAGTCAAAGGATAAGAAAGTAGAGTATCTGATTCTATAACTGCAAAGTGTATTACGCAGACTTAATACAACTTTTAGTCCTAAACAAAAGGATTAAAAGCCCCAAATCATCATAAATACTTTTAAAATAACCTTCTTAAAATAGGGTCAGAAATTCTGCATTATATACTAGAAAATAATAAATACAGCCATGTGCTAGTATGCTGTTGAAACTAGCAGTGGTATTTTGACCAGCTAAAGGCAGGCAGCTCTCAGAAAGGAAACAGTCACTGAAATAGCCACAAGATGGAGCCCAAAGGATCTTCCAAACTGTAGTTAGTATTGTCATCCTGCATGGATTAAGAGTTAAATAAAGTGATTTTACTGAAGAACACTCTACAGAAATCTTGAACCGCAAATGATGTTTTTCAATGTAAATCCAATCCTGACAAAAGATGTTTTCAATTTGATAGATGGCTACCCATACACTAGTGAGCTTTGATTTCCCATGCTAAAATAACAAGTCCCCAGCATTTTCAAGGAATATTGATGAACAGATAATTTACATTAAACAAAGAAAATTATCTGAAAGACTACATCAGTTAACTGAAATTTGCTTGACCTCTGCCTTGTCTCAACTATCTTAGGGGTATAAATAATTTATGTCCAATTTACAGGTTTATGTGAGACTTAACAATCTGTATAACCTCTGTTTAGTGATGGACAGAACTTCCCAAGTTGCAGATATTTCAGTGGGATAAGACATGACCCATTCAATATAAGCAGGTAGAGGAATGACTCTCTCAAGCTCATGACTATTCACTGAATTCATAAATTTTAAGAATTTTTTTAGATATTCAGATTAATGTAATCATTAAAAAACTTTACCTCATGCAAATTTAGATGTCTAAAGTTGTAAATCTACATTGAAACTGTTCACCCTAGTCTCAGTTTAGGGCTGATAAAGAGAAATAAGCATCTGCAAAGAGTGTTTCGTCTGTCTTGTATCTGAGTCAAAATGCAATTACTTGCCCCTCTGGAGATATTTCTATTTCTTACTTAATTATAACAGGGAACATAGTTTAGGTTTAGTAACAAGAACAGAAAACAAATGTGAATGAATATTAGGATTGTTTGTTGCTAATTAAGAACTTTCCCTCTCTTCTGACATTCTGACATTCTGACAATCTGACATTGAAAGAGAAGTGAGAAGAATGAGCAAGTAATTTGTGGATCTTAAAAACTGATTGAATATCCACTCTCACTCTACTTAGATGGAGAATCTAATGCAAATATTTAATTTAGACATTTTAACCACAAGGTGAAATCTCCATGTTTATCTGCCTAACACTTCTGTGTACTCATAGTTAAAGCACATAAAACTAGTGGTGCTACCTTGTATCCATGTTGGTTTTTTTTCAAAAATGCAAATACTTTTATTCTTAGTAGGATTTAACTAAAACCTTGACATTGGTTACAACTTTTTAACCTATTCAAAGTAAAATTGAGATTTCATTCTTTTAAGTCTTATGTAATAACAAACCTGCAAAATTATTCATATTGATAGACCTGGCATAGCATTTCAATTGCAGTTATGATTACAACTTGTGTTAATTGCTCTTACTTGCATTAAAGTACAACAGTAATTTATTCAGCCCCTGCTACCAAAAACTGGAGTCAGTTAAACTACCGTTTTAATGATTTAATGAAACAGCTGTGATTTCTGAAGAAAGAGTGCTCTGTGTAATTGGTGGCCTGGGTTGTTACTGTAAGTTAGGTATAATACATATATATTGGCATCATGTCAGAAACACATCTGTCAATCAGCATAATACACTTGAACACCTGCATATCCACATAACACATGTTTAATTGGCTAAAAATTTCCCCATGGGGTAAACTATTACTTTATTGCTCTGCACAAAGATGTGTGCAAATGAATGCTCAGAGGTATTCTATTCAGATGCATTTCCAGAATGAATAGTTCTTCTAGTGTCAATCTACCTTTCTTTTTCTTATCTATGCAGACATCATTTGCAGAAATGTACTTTCACAGAGTTGTAATTAAAGCAAAAGCAGTGATCAGCATCATTTCATGAGGAACAAAGATGGTTCAGTATGCTATGCCTCTAGAATTTAGTCATTAGCCCTTTACTTTAATCACCATGTTAATTTGAGTAGCACACTGGGAAAAGTCCATTTTTTCAAAAGTCAATTAATTTTTATTGTTCTCCATCCCTTATATCAACTATTCTCTCCTCCAAAATCCTTCTTTTTTAGATTTCCATGGTCATCTTATTTTTTTCCAATTTATTATTATTTCACATTTATTTAGTAACATATGTAAATATATTTTCAGCCATTATTATGCTTTTGCAAATCCAGTCTAAGATAAGAAGGACCCAAACTAAGAAGTTTCTTTTCAAAGTATTTGCATGGAATCTGGACCCAGGGGGGTTATTTTGTCAGCTTTCACCATTAACAGGCATTATGACTGAAGATACAATTATAACAAATATTAACATCACCAAGAGATCCTACTTTTGGCTCCGATTTTTTATATAGAGTGGTGAACATTTTTTTGCACAAACTAACATCTATATTCTGAAAAATCCTTCTAACATCTTATGAACTTCAGTCTGCCTGATTTCACTCAGTTGCCCTTTGAGAGTCAATAATTCCTGTTGCAATAAAGACAACCCAAGCTTCACTGTGTTTTGCCTTAGCTATATGCAAATGTAAAACTGATATTTCTAAAAGTGAAAGCTTGTTAGCATACTTCCCTCATCTGTATGTTCCCATCCCACAGTTTCAGGGAACAGCACATGAAAACGTCAGAAGCTGAGGATGATATTGAGAGGAAGCTCTTCAGGTCTTTCACCACATGTGCCTAAAGATGAAATGCATTAATGCAGCAGATGTACCTCACCTACATTTGACTGAAATTTATTCTTTCCAGCTCTGTTGATGGAAGATTTGTCCTCCTGGGATATTAGGACTTATACTATTTTAAAGATATTAGTTTTCAGTGCCATCATGCAAGATTGCTGTTTCAACACTTTATATTTCCCAGAGCATTTCTATTGTTTAAGTGACAAACTGGGAAACACAGAAAGAATGGGATCATTACTAATGATTCCTAAAAGCATGCATCTCAGATTGAATTGAAGCAATTCCTCTTATTAAAAGTCATTTTAAAATGTTGGAAATGTCTCTACTTCTTTGCTACTTCTATTATATTTACACCATGATAAAGTTTCTCCCTTCCCTCCTCTCTCTTCCTTTTTGGTTTTCCCTGTCATAGAAAGTACTCTTGAACTGTCAGTTTAAAAAAAAAAGTCTTAAAAAGCAAGTTGTTCTAGACAACATCAACAAAATCCTCCAAAACCAAGAGTCAGCTCATTTTTCAACATGCAGCCCTGAGGTATAAAACAAACCAAACTGCAAGGACACAAACACGACAGCTCTGGGAAAGCAGATAGATATCTTTGGCTAGGCTGCGCTGGTAAACAAAATAAAGCAGAAATAACTGTGAGAGCAGCCTGACAGCTTTTTTAGTGGAAAGTGGCAATAGGAACATCAGTCTGTTGCTAGTGAATGCTGTACAGGCTCTAATATCAATGGTTAAGTATAAATGATAATGGAGAACCATAGCATTTTAGGAGGGTTTGTCTTAACTCTTTATCCTATTATCACACTTTAGCCACTGCTGATAGAGTGATCCAAGGAAATCTGTGGGGATGCACAGACTCAGATGACAATTCCTAGACCAAGAGATCAAGCTCTCTGCTTCCCTACAAATATTCCAGACAGCCTTAATCACTTAGCATTTCATACTTGTCGTGTTAACGTGGTATAATACTTCCTTAATGTTTAGAATCCTGGAAAAATACCCTGGAAAATACTAGGTTTAAAACAAGCCAGAAATTTAAAATAGATGTTGTAGGGAATTAAGAGATCCTATGAGGACAAGTCTGGTACAACATGCAGTGTATTTTAATCATATACCATCTTCCCCTATTTGTGCCACCACCACACACCTCTTGCTTTCTTTATTTTGACTTGGCCACGGGATAACTCTTGGTCTCTGTCAAGGCAATTTTTTAATGTAGAGCAGAGGTCAGAATGAGCACAAGCCATTCTCTTTCTAGGAATGCTGCTGTAGCTAATCTGGTTTTTGAGTCACTTTTTTAGACATATGCTCAGTAGACTAGCTTTGCAACACAGTCTGCCAGCTGCTCGTCTAGCCAGAAGAACTTGAGTGAGACACAGGCAGATATGACAGATCAGGTCTGCTGGTCTAAAAAATTATGTAAACATTTGACTTCTCCTTTGAATGACAAAGAGTACAGGAAACAACTTCACAAATGTAGGGAACTGCTCCTTAACAGAGTGGTAAGTCCTAATAATCCCCTTTTTTCTGAATTTATTATCTGAGACATGTAAGGAATGTATTTTATTCTGTTTGACTTTTTTATAATACAGTTGTGTTACAGTTTGTAAAACCTTGACCTAACTAAACCAAAAGTGCCTTATTTAAATTATACACAATGATGTGGTCTCTTAAGTTCTTGGAACTTATATTTGGGACAAATAATGTCCACTAATTTCTCTAAAGACAAATAGCTCATTTGTCTGTATTTCAGGGAGAATTAACTCATATCAAGTGGGGAAATCAAATTTTACCTTTGTCTTGATGCATCAACTGGAAGGTATATTTCAAATTTTTATAATTCTATTAGATGATTCCTGTTGATCTTGATCTCTCTCTTGGCCTGTAATGTTGTTACAGATTAACATTATGTGTGTGTTGTGTAATGCAATGTCCAGTCCAAAACATGGTAAAGAATATCTGTGCTGTCTTTAATGGGAAATAAACCAGGCTCTTACTTTGCAAATTGCTTATTTATAACACACTTGTATCTATCTAATTAGAAATATTTTTTCCCAGCTACAGCATGTGTTATTACTCTGTTTTTCTTAACTAAAACAAGTACTTCTGGCATTGCTTTTATTTCCTGTACAACATATTCTTTTCTTACAGGATGTGCACACACACAAAGGTATTTGCTGTCTGAATGGCAAATAACTCTTACCCAGATGGAAAATAGACGCTGTAATCAAAAAGCACATTCTGCTTTTAGCCTTACCAATTTATGGTTCAATAAAATGCAGGATTTCATTTCTGAACCTGTATCAGAATCTATTTTAAAACAAATATGCCATATATAATTAATACTCTTGAGACCTTCAGAATAGCAGGCAAGTCAAAAAAATTTGAAGTGAAAAACAGCAAGATATCTATGAAACCTGTTTTCTAAGTTTAATTTAGAATGGCAGAAAAGACATTGCAAATTTTTGCTGAGAGTAGAACCATATAATTTCATTGATCTAGTTCTTATGTAGCTTCAAATACTTCATCAAAAATCCAACTGTTTTCATTTGATTCAAATCTGACCGCCTCTAGTACCATTTAAGTGTTAAACAAATGAAGATAAAACACTTACTTAGGACTGAATTTTCTGCCATTGTGAACAATAAGTACTTTTTTTACCCAGTAGGTAGTCCTCTTAGCGAATGACATCAGAACAACTATTTGAAATGAGACCAAGAGTTGATTTAACCCAACACCCACTCGCCATCAGTGGCCAGAACAAAAAATGCTTGTTTGCACTTTCAGTGCAAGATACTGCATGAAATATGTGAGATTCCCAGAGCTGCATAACACAGCCTTTAATTTCTCACCCTTTAGGCTAAATTACATAAATCATTACACACTTTGCAAAGTCTGACCTGGACTATCATCTTGCTGTTTTCACGAGGTAGAATAAAAATCAAGATACCCATGTTATAGATAACTGTGATACTGTAGAAATGAATCTAATAGTCCTTTGATGTCATTTTTTAACTTTCTGCTTAGTCTGTATGTCATTTGAGTTGCATTTTTTAATGAGATAATGACACACAAGAAGGATAAAATTAATATTGAATTGACTAAAATCACAGTTAACAAAACATAAAGGTTTATTTTTAGGGCTCAAATACCATTTCAAAATTTCACTTTGGTGTTTCATTTTTGATTTTTTTATAGAAAAAAATATAGATACTTTTTAGAATAACTAATACTCTAGAAACTGTTAACGTTAGAATACCTTCATTATTTCATCAAAATATCTGGTAGAAATATCTCTGAGTCTCATGCCAGAAATAAGGAAGCTGGACTTTTAGGCAAAGCACAGATAGCAGTAATCTCAGTCTTCAATCTGTCTTGATGCCCACATTATACATGTTTGTCTAATTAATGCCTACACAGAAAAGATGGGAAAAGACAACAGAGATACTTTCTAGGGCAAAATTCAGGGACCAGACTTTAGCTGAGTTCCTATTGTTTTAAACATTCTCCGTGACTGATATATTCTACCAGCATAAAAGGGAAAATAACTGTATTGCTTCAATGGAAAGTTAAGGAATAATGGTTTTGTTTTGATTTTAGCCAGATCTTAGATAAGGATGTTATTACAAAAGTGTGCTTGTAAAATTTGCTAAGCAGTGTCAGTAGGGAGTCTTTAAATTAACACTGTTCATATGTGGCCTAGCTCTGATTATTTTGGGCGATTACTGAAAGAGCTGTATGACACAATATTCTGTATTAGTTGTGTAAGTCATTATACTAGCTACTGGTATAATGTTCAGATTTTGATTTAAATATTTGCTTTGAAATTCCTTTTTGAAAATTGAAATTCTTATTTCCTGAACATATCTCACTATGTCTTTTGACACAATTAAAAATTAATTTCCTCTTCCATATTTCATGGAAACTCAATTGCAGTAGAATTTGCCTCAGCTTATGATGCTTAGGGAACTACATTTTGGTTAGTTTTACAGAGTTAAATGAGCCTACATTTACAAAATGTTTACTTACACACATAAAAATGACAAATATGGCTTTGTCTTAGGACATTTTTTTTCCTTTGAACTCCTATTTCTGATTCCTCAGTTCAGATCAAGCATATACACTTATTTTGTATCATTACTCTTTATTACCCACAAAAATGTTCTGGTGTTTTTCACTTTGTTCTGACTACCACCTCAGGTTGCTGTCTCCTTAAATGCACAACTACAACTTGGATGAGAGACTAGATATAAAATGGGAGTAGACTTTATACTGTAGGGAAAACAAGCGAAACAGAAACCCACATGCACAGCAGTTTTTGTCCAAGGTGGGAGCTGGGGAGCTCGGGAGCTCAGTGAATCACAGCCTGGGAGCTCACAGCAGCAGTTTTATTGTTTGTGCTGCTGGGGCTGCAAAGGCAGCTCATCCTCTGCCCTGCTGCATCTCTCTGTGGGATTACTCTCTCTCACACACAGAAGACATGCAGGTGGTAGAGCCTTTTTTCTCTTGAAAACAACAGCTGTGTAGCAAAAGTCAAGAAGAAAAATCCATCTGGAGGGCTAGGTCTTGACATTTCACTTCCTTCTGCAGAACCAGTCATGACATTGGATATAGCTACCAAGCTCTCATTTCTTTACCTGAGAAATGTTGTCTTAACATCCATGGAAAGTATGCATTTGGTTTTCAGTTTTATCTCATCTGGGATTTTTTTAATGGAAAAATGCAGAAAAAGAAATGGCACAAAGTCTAGAAGTCACAGCACTGAAATACTTTTGTTTAGAAATGGCCTAATGAAGTCAATGAACATTTTCAAATCAACATTTGCTTCTTGGAGTATCCCTGAATCCATCTGAAATTCATTGCCCTCATAGAGCAGGTGCAATTGTCAGGGACTGTCCTCTTTAGAGTCCCCTAGGTGTTGTTTCTTCGCTCAAGCTAAAATTCATTTTCTGTCTTTGTCTAGTAGAGACCTTATGGTCTGAATTTGCCCCATCTCTTAGTGGGCACTAAGTAAGGTAAGCGCCTTACTTAGCCAGGTAGTTTCCCTAGGTTTGGTGTATGGTCAGCATTGAGTGAGGGTGACTAAGACCTCAGAAGAGGTGCAGAGCCTTCCAGGGGTGTTTGTACCAAATTTTGGCTAAATGAGGAATTCAGGGTGCCTGTGTTCCTTAGCTAAGTGTCCCATTTATGCATCTGGGGTGGACAGTGTTGGTGAAACAATGTAACAATGTAACAATGTAACTGCTGCACACTTCAATACAGATTTCACTGAAATTTTGTATGTCTAAAATGTCACTAAGAAATGAAGTAAATTCTGCATCACAGCTACAAAATTATTAAAATATGCCTTTTTTGTTTACTTCTAGCTACCTCAGAGAACCCGCATGAGCACAGTAAGTACCAAGGCAATATAGAATATCGTTATTTTAACTTTCAGAAGGAAGGTATTTCCTTGGTTTTACAAAATTTTAGCAGCTTAAGGTGGAATTCATCAATTCAAACTCACACAACATTTTGACTCATGAAACTGGTTTTCAATGACTCACTCTGTTAGTGCAGGACCAGGTGTGTTCCACAGGTTCCAGTTTGCATGGAAACCATTATCCAGTTCAGCTGAGACCCACCTATGCCTTTTGTCTCCATGGCAGCTTTGCACTGGGAAACAATCAAGGGGGCCACAGATGGGGAAGGGGTTCTGCAATTCTCCGGCCAGGCCTTGGGTCCAGGTTTTCGAGATTTATTTCTTAGTATGTTACAATGCTGGCCTGCTGCACAGCTTAGGCTTCGGAGATACTAATCAGAATTAAACATTCTTTTAATATTTTCTGTCTCATAATGTTAGGATCTGGATAGCACACTGTTTTTAAATAACACAAAATTGCATTCATGTTGTATTATAATACAGAATAATATCCGTTATTATTAGTGCTTCACAATATATTTGTGGGATCCCCATACTAGCTAGAATGAAGAAAATTAGCTCTGCTCCAGCCAAATCCAGGGCAAAGAGAAACATGGAAAGCTTTAATTTTTTTTTTATTTTATGCAGGATACTTAACATTTATTTGTCATTCTTTATGAGAAAATCCTACTTCTGGTGGAATAAAAACTGCCACCATTTCTGTATTAAACATCAAGGAGAAATTTTCTATACAGAAGATCAGTGATAGCAATCACAATCAATACTAGAAGCAATTAATAATTTTAGAAATTCTATTATCTTTCTAAAAATCCACAGAAAATAATTAAACCGCATTAAAAAGTTAAAAAACACTTTTAATTATTTTCATTTTATGGGCAAAGAATAGTTCAACATAATTTCTTGAGAAATATAGTTATAAAAAAATTATTCTTAAGTTTAGTGGGAATATGTAATGCAAAGTAATATTTTAAAACTATAATGGGCATATTTTATTTTTGAAATCTTCCAAAAGTTAAAATGCTTTCTAATGTAGGGATTCTCGTTTTCAGAGCATGAACGTGTTAAACGTGAAAAAGCTGTCTCTCAGTCTAAGCCAGGTAGGTTTGGTGAAGTAGCCTCCACTTACACCCGGCTCCACTCAATAAGGATGTGTGTGGTCTGCAAAACTTGGACATTTCCTTGAGCTAGGCACAGGTGTTCTGCTTTGTGCCGTTGGGTTTTTTCAGTGTGTTGGAGACGAGAAAAAATGAAGGTGACATTTAACTTTAAGGATTCAACTGTCACAGTTTTTCACTGTTCTTGTGACTTTTCCCACTGCTGTAGTAAAAAGCATTAGCAAAACCTACTTCCCAGAGTGTGAGGAAGGAGTGCTTTAATGCCCTGCACTGTGTCAAAGAGGTGCACTGGGAATTAACCCTTCTCAACCCTGTCAGTAAATTAGTTATTACATTATGTGAGTGTGGTCCCCCCAAAAAGGAGAAGGTACAATCTCATTGAGTACACACTCTGCAGTAGAGTCAGCCTCCAGCTCCTGAAACCCAAAAGTAACAGGAGCTGAACTAAGAATAGCAATACTAATCCTGGACTGACTGTGCACTCGGGTAAACTGTAATAAATACCTGGCGGCAGTGAGCAGGGCAAAGGGTCCCCTTTCAAAGCAGGGCTCTGTTCTAATCGTGTTTTTTGAGGAGGAAGGCACTCAAGGATCCACAGCTGGGTCTGGTGTGAATTAACAAGACTAAGAGGTTAACCTCACAGAAAACTCAGCTATTGATGCTCAGCTTACATCACTCCTGAGTGGTTTTCCAGTCCCCACTCCTGAAGCAGTGGGGACTGCAAAGCAAGTATCCACATCCCATTGACCTTTGCTGGAAGTGCTGCTGCTTGAACTTCACATTGAAATGAAGTGCTCATGAATAAGTGATTAAATAAACCATTTAAACTTTATGTGTTCAACCATAAGCAAGCAGGCTTTATTTCATAAGTTTTTGTTCCTATTTTTTTGAAGAAATAAATTTCTCCTATGTATTTAATACTTTTATCATTAATTTTTCTAATGTACAGTATTCTACCTTGTAAGTTAAATATTTTCATAGACATTTTCAGGTTTCCTGGAAGCCTTGAGGATCTGATTTAGTGAAGATATATTGGTTTTGAGTCAATAGGGAAAAAATATTTCTCTTCTTCTTTCTATGACACATAGGCCAAGCATTTTATTCAACTCATTGATCATTTTTTGTGTATTAACAACTAGCATAATGCTTCAGACATTAGGTGAATTCAGCCAAGGCAGGAATGAGGAAGCCAAGTTTGGTGGCCACAGTGGTGGCCAGAAAGTGGGTTGCCTGGATCATGATCACTTACTTTTCCTGCTAAATGAAATCAGTCCTGCTACACAATTAGCCCAATCTCGTCCACATAGCTGCAGGAAAATAAGTTTTCTTGGTAGGGCATTCTCAAACATTAGAGCACTGTGTCACAAACCCTTATATTGGACTGATGAGGATTTTACTTTCCCATACTACAGTACACTCCAGATCCCAAGCCCTTGTTATTTAGGTGCTTGAAGGGAAAAAATGCTTGCTAAATTTCCTTTAGCATAAAATCTCTATTCTCAGATGATAAATGGCTGCTTTGGAGAACAGTGGCTGTTTTGAGTTTCACTTGATGACTGGAAGTATTAATCTGCAGGCACTGGTGGTAATAGTGCTTCTTCCTGCTGTGTGCCAAGGAGTGCTTTTGAGTTAACAGCTTGAATTATAAAAGCTTCATTCTGAACAAAACAGTGGCCTCCTTTTTCACCTTGATTCAATGCAGCTTCAAACCATTTTTCTTATGCCTCCTGCCATCAGACTTAGAAGTATCACATGACTGAAATACTATGGAATTTCAGAAAATAAGGAAAAGTTTAAATTAGAGTGTTTTGTGCATGTCAGTGAAAGCAAGTAAAGCAAGGGAATCCATTCCTGATGTAATTCTGCTGAAACTGCCTGCAATACACAGAGAAATGTTTACAGCCTTATTTTTTCCATTTAAATTAGGTACACCAGGGAAAAAAATTAATATTAATGCTTGTACTGCTGCAAAACTGGAGCCCTGCAGAGCAAATAAATTCTCTTCAATGATAGATTTCAGAACTTTAAACTTTGGACTTACTCAAAACCAATATTTTTTTTTCATATTCATAACATTTTTTTTTTACTCTTTATATCTTTATGAAGTCCTTAATTTTTTTTTAATTTTTTTATATGGAATACTCCCCATGATATGGTAAAAAAGAAAACAGGAAAAATTAGAAATATTACTTCTGTTCTTGGCAAAATAATATGTATTATCCTCATCATATGTTTTTCTCTGCTTTTCCTCATACTGAATGTGGCGAACAGATTGATTTCATAAACCTTCCTGATGTTTTGAAGTATATTCCCTTATAAGACAGTTCTCCTTAAGTCTGGACATTCTACTCCTTCAGTTTCCCTTCTGGCTACAACCAGTGCCTGGAAACTCAGAGAAAAAGCCAAGCAGCTGCCACCTATAGTTCTGCCAGGGAATGCATCAGGGTGTTCTCCAGTAGAATTAGCAGACCAATATTTGCTGGGTGGTTAGGTTGCAGAATAGGTAGGTGAATGAATACCAAAGAATTACTGTGTTCATTCCCAGATGAATGCAAATCCACAGGCCTGTCCAGTTTTCAAGACAAATTCATTCTGAGAAGAAACACTGCCCCTAGTTTCAAATCAATCAGATATGCCATCCACACACAAACTTACTTCCTTACTTATTTCCTCACAGACTTGTTATCCCAGAGTTACAAATCAAATATTGCTGTACATTCTCAACAGAATTAGGAAAGGGAAAATATCTTATTTAGTGTTCAAAAGTGTCAGGATAATATCCAAAGAAAGAGAAACCTTTTTATTTTACTTGTCATTAATCTAGGGCATGTTACAGGGCCTTTGTTTAAAGGCGACGTATAAGGTTTTCTTCAGTATTGGTACATAGAAAGTTTAATGTCCCAATTTAAATTAGTGAAATGCCCTGTTATATGTTAAAGCTCCTCTAACAGCAGTAAAAAAGACACTTTCTCTCAATAAGCTGCATCTTCAAGCTGCTGGTTTTGCTATGAAACATTTCTAGCTCCACAGACAGCATAGAGACGAGATTTTGAATTCATGGCTTTCATAAGAAACTGATAGTAACAATAGCTGAGAAAGGGGGATAAAAGTGCCCTAACCTTAATACAAATTAAGAGAAATTAAATTGACACATACCAGAAAACAAATGAAAAGTACATCAGTGCAGAGCTATGTTTAATTTCCAAATAATAGAAAATATTAGTAACCAGAGAGCTTTATCGCTCCTTATATTTGACCCCAGCAGTACTGATTTTCTTCCAGAAATAGACCAAACACACAAGAGAAGGGTACCAAGAGATATCTTCCCAACCTGATCTCCACACAGTCATTGTCATCTTTGTTCTGATGCCTTCCAGAGGTCTTAGTGGAAAGGAAGGGGGCCAGAGGCAAACTGCTTTTAGCAAGAGGAATGGCAAATACAGCCTCACTGTGTCTTAAGCGTATTTAAGAAGAATTTAGGAATGTATGTGATTGTTGAAAGGTAGAGTTTAGGAGAGGAGCTTTAATTCAGTTATGGAAAAAGACATAAAATGAAGTAGAATTATAAAAGGATGAGGTAGGGTGAATTTAAAATCAACCAAACTGGGCAGAGTAGAAATCTGAACATAAACATCCCAGTTTCCACCTGACTGGGACATTGAGAAGGTAAAACAAACCCCACTTGACTAGAAAGTGTAATCCCGCCAACTTAATTGCAGAAGAAGAAGTTCAGGTCTGGTGGCCAATGTCTATATGGGTCCACATCGTCTGAGAATTATGCTGAGCAGGCATATCCACAGGCAGCTCAAGAGCATGTGGGCTTGGGCAGCTTTTCCTATAAGATTAGCAGAAGTTCAAAACTGCTCCAAGGTCCTGTGACAGATGTCCATCTCGGTCTAGGTAGGTTTGTCCAGTAGCAGGTGGTATAGACTGGCCTTTCAGACTGTCCCATGTGTCCCTCTGTCAGCTGTTATGTGTTGGGGCATCATTTTCATCTTCCGAGTGTAGGCACATGTGAATACCTCTACTCATGTTTGGAGTTAGGCAGCCTCAAAAGTTCTAGAAGTTATCTAGAAGTTCTTAGTGTTGTTTAATACCAAAATACTGAACTGTTGGACGTAGACACTCAGGAAAGTGCTGTTGGCAAAGGTGTAATGGATGCAGGAACAGGATGGCTTCCACCTGCGTGCCTGCCTGAAGGACGCTGAAGGGTATGCGGCTGTTTTCCAGCAGCTGAGACATTAGGCCCAGTAATTTACTTTTTCCATGAGCATGATCTCACCATGCAGTCAGAACTCATAATGCCTGCATGCTGTTTTACAGTGCTATAATGGGATAGTGATGGTGAAGACATGCATTTATTTTGTCATTGTGAACCATATGCATAAGATCACCTATAGAAATATTTTTCCAATTATATGAACCTGTGCTAACACATTGTGATTTTAATGCTGCTTTTGCCATACAGAGGAGAAAATGAAACAACAAAAGACAACTCCCACTGAGAAGTCAGGTAAGAATAAGTGATTCTCTCCTGATTTATAGAGAGGGAGGGGGAGTATTAAACACTATTCAGCACTCATCTAGTGTAGTATATTTGCATTCCAATATTTTTTACAGTATTTTGGAATATGCAACTGATAACAAAGAAAAACCAGCTGAGTGGAAATTGCAGCTTCTGTTTTACTAAGAATTGTGTTTTCAATGATGATGACAGGTCAAGGCCTTTCAGCTCCTTTGCTGCTTGTTCCAGCCTGTCATTAGCCAGAGCTGGGCTAATGAAATGAGGTGTAGCTGTAAATCAGATCTCTGAAAGGGTCCCAAATATGAGGATAAATTACCAGATGGATTAGGACTTTGGATCAGTCTTATGGAGAAAATATTTTTGGGACTAAACTCTAAATCTTTGAGTCATATCTGTGATTAAGACCTCAGATTTTTTAATATAATGCTGACAGGAAAAAAAAAAATCAAGTAATAATGAGTGCTCTAGAATCTGTCAAGAGTCAGCCAAGGTATTATAGCATTCTCAACATCACTGGGAGTCAACACAAAGCTGTCTTAACTTTAGGGGTTTGAATGCTGTACATCCCTGCACAGGTAGGGGAAGTTAAGAACAAGTGAGACCTGACTGATAAAATGCTTGAATGTTAAAAAGTAAGGGGGGAAAAAAGAGTATATTTTTTCTTCTTCTGTATCTAACTATTACAATTTTACCTCTTTTGTCTTCTGTAGCCCAGACAAAGCCAACAAGTATGTTATTCTTACCTTAATCAGAAAAATTCCTGTAAAATTGTTGAATACATGTATCTTTTTTTTTACTTTAACATAAGGAAGCATGCCCTAGTTTTGCTTAAAAGTATAGTGTCTTTATCACCAAGTCCCCTGTTCCTTTCATTTAACATACTGTCTTGTAACTGCTATTTAAAAGCCCATTTGACATAACCAATTGCTTCAGTGCACAAGTGAATTCATTCTACACTTCCCATATCAAAATTCCCATCAACAAAAATTCATATAGGAGTTACAAGTCTTTTAATAATTACCATTAAAATTACCTGGCTTGGATACATGCTTTTGCTAAGTTAAAAAAGAAAAATAGAGATTAATATTAACTGCATCCTGAATTCTTCTAAGTCAAAAAGGACTCAAGAGAGTCAATACCATAACTTACCACACAGCCTGCTTGTTGATTTTCTATACCTTTGACACCTTCAGAATTCAGATTCAACTACAATAATAATAATTAAAACAGTCAATTAATTGCCTAAAAAATTTAATGATCAAAAAAAGTCCAGATATGGGAAATTAATCACTCTTCACTGAACCAATTTTTCATTCATGCTTCATAACAGTGTTTCCCATTTGAAATTCTGTATGATGTGTTCATCACAGCATTTCTCAACTTGTCTCCCCATATAAAATCACAGCTGCCAGGAGTTCAATTATTCATCTGAGTAGCAGAAAGGCTGAGGCATATTGCCCTTTTTTCAGAGGCCATTCACATTTTCAGCACTTTCCACTTTACAGCACACTTTTGGGGCAAAAGGAAAGTGATGCACTGTCCTTGAGCTGTGGAAACATCACATGGAAACAAGGCCAGCAGAGCTGTCCATTGATTCCACAGCCATAAAATTTATTTTGGCCCCAGTTTCCATTGCATAGCTGCTACTGTGCTATGAGATCTGTGTGGTGGGGTTCTTTCTAAGTCTGACTTTTGTTTGTTAAACCTATTTGACAAAAAAAAAAGCTTCTTCAACTTTTCCATTTCCAGAAACATAACATAAATTATCATTTTTTCAGTAATAATTATGAAGTAGAAAGATGGGAAAAGGGGTAGGGAAGCAGACATGTGGAGATGAGATGCATTTTCCACACCTAAATATAATTGATTCATATGTAATAGTATGTGTCCAAGACTTTGGGAATTCCACTCAAGTATATCTGAATCAAGGACAAAGGATGAATGAACAGTTGGTCTGCACTCTCCTTTACAATAATCAAAATTGAAAATGGAAGAAAATTACATTTCAGAAATTACTTGCTTCTTCCTTAAGACACATGCATGACTCTTAGTAGCATTAGTAGTGGCTATATTTGTGAGATTATGTGCAGTACTAATGAACTTTGCTACTTTGTGGCAGATCTTTCACTGGAAAATTTTTTAATAACCATTCATTTGTGGGTTTCTTTTTCAAAATAACAGCATGAAGCAATAGAAGGGAAATGTTTAATACTGAAAAACATACATGCAATCCTTCTTACTAAAAAAAAAGTGCAAAATGTAACTTAGAAACATTATGAAAATTTTGTTATGGTGTTGTTTTTTGTTTAGAGCATGAAACAGTCAAACATGAAAAAGATGTTCCCCTTACAAAACCAAGTAAGAACTCCTGCATTTTATTTTACATATTTGTTTTGAAAATGTTATTTAAAGAAATAGTGAAATACAATTGCATATGACAAATGTCAAAACCATTGTCCTGTGGTCTCTTTGGATGTATAGAATGGCCCTGACATGCCGTACCACAAACTAAATAGCACAGTACATACTTGTAATGCTAGTCATCATTTTAAAATATAGATATATGTACATATCAAAGGTCAAATTTCTGCTTCTGTAATTCCGTTGATGTCAAAGGCATATGTCAGCAAAGAATATGAACAGCTTTCTGAAACTGCTTCCTTTAAATGGCTCCGTTTTGCTAATTTGTGGGGAGATGCCTTTTATTTGGACTTCACAAAACAGTAAACCTCCCAGGATGAGCAACACTTAAATTTTTATCCATTGCAGGTATCATATGATATAGGCTTTAGATCTTGATCTGGCAGCATCCATAATCTGTGGTAAATGTCTCTGATATCACAGCTCATGCACAGTCACACTTGCACGTGACAGAGCAAAATTGATGCTGGTATAAGAAGGAGCATTGTTCAATTTCACTGTAGACTATCATCATGGGTTTAGAAAATGTCTGCTTCATGCCTCTTCATGAAATAAAATAGGTGAAGAATTAAAATTTTTAATGTTAATATTAGTCATCCTTAACTCTAGCAAAACAATTTCAGTCCATAAATGAGAACACCCCTACTAATATCATTATTAGATTGTTATTAATTACTCTGAGATTAGTAAAAATATGTTTTGATACACAGAAACATATAGAACAAATAAAGCCATTCTCTGCCATAACAATATTATGCTGAACCTGACCTGACTGTTTTGACCATTTTTCTTTCCTCTTTTTACTTCCCAGTCAAACCGAAAAATACTGCAAGTACGTGTAATGGCTTATTTCTTATGGAATATAAACCTTCTTTTCAGATGCATGTGCTCTAAATTTGCATTTTTGAAATTTTGTCATGTTAGATAATGCTATTTTCTTGCTTATACTACAGATACTCTTGTATTCTGTCTGCTTACTGACAGCCAAACACAACAAAATCAAGCACATTTATAATGCAATATTGTGAAGATGCAAGATTCAAACTCTGTTTGCAATTTTTGCTCCCTAGAAAACAATGTAAATTACACTGGTAGCAAAACTGATATTCTGGTGGGTTTAGATGAGTGTAGATGTATAATTTATATTTATGCAAATATACTGTTTATTGAAAACAAGAAAATAGCATGTAGCATAACTGAATTAGACAACCTTTTCCTTAATTCTTTTACCAGTTGGAAATTGCTTACATCATTAATTCACTAAGCATGTTGTTGGTCTCATTCCAATAAAAGCTTTTTTTAAATAAAAAACTTAAAAATTAAAGAAGAGAAAGAATTATTTCAAATTTATATTAGTTTTAAGGAGTATTCAAGGGGAATTTGTCACATTACAAAAACTTCCACTGAAGTCATGGGATAATGTCCTTTATAAGGTCATTTTTAAGGAAGACTTCTGAACAGATGAAGACTGGGATCTGTGCTTATTGTGGCAAGCCATTGCACGTTACATACTGCAAAGCATGGTCAGAAGGACAGCGTTTGTACTGCATGCTTTGAATTGTGAAAATCCTGAAGTATGGACCTTCACAGATGAATTAGTTGTTGGCTCTCTAGCACAGGATCTGTGGGGTTCTGTGGGGTTTTTGGGTGCTGTGCCTGGCACATCAAGACCAAACCATGTGTTATTCTGGTGGAAAGTGAGCTGACAACAAGGCAAAGAAAAATTATTTGCTTAAACTTCCTAGACCAGTAACCTGTGCTAGGTGCTTAGAGAGGATGAATCCTGCTCTGAAATGCCTGTAGTAAAAATGTTACTCTGTACCCCAGATGTAAAGTGAAAGTGTGAGCACAAGGTATTTGAAATGATAATATGAAAATGAAAAAATGAAAATGTACCCCAGATGTAAAGTGAAAGTGTGAGCACAAGGTATTTGAAATGTACTTATACTGAAGGATCTCCTTCAGCCCTGAACTGCAATGTTCCATTTTCGAGTTATTATTGCAAAATTATTACTATATATGAAGCTATCCATGGGCCTATTTCCATTTTTGCAAGTATTATAAGAAAATTTTGCTCTATTTAATTCCAATATTCACTTTTGCTCAGTCTTGTTTTCTCTAGATCTGTTTACTGACATTACTGTAATGTTTTCTGAGATACCCAGTGACAGCACTCACTACTGTTAGAGGCTCATCACAGATTTAAGTGACTAATTCCTTATGTTTTCATCAGATAAAAATCACCATGTACAATGCTTTTTTAACAAGAGTTATGCTACTCTGGTATATTGTGAATATAAGGAATAGCCAGGATATTTTCCCTTGACCTTTGCAGTGGGATGTTTGTACCACATTCTTGAACTTATATTCCTCTGCTTGAAATGATTATAAATGTTTACAGTGCCTTTAGAAAAATAAAAATTAAAAAAAAAAGAAAAAGAAGGAAAAAACCAGGAACAAGTAGACCTATAGTTATTTACAAAATTCCTTATATACTGCCCCTTTTTGAGCAAACCATCCTTGAACAGATCAAGGTTTAAACACCACAGCTATCTATTTTATGTTGATTTTCTCTACTTAAAGGAGAACATTTAGTTGGATCACTGCATTCTTTATTTATAGAGGTCTATATAGCTTTGCTTCATGTATTTCTTAGCCAGGTGTACAGTGTACTTATGAATGTAGCTGTCATGTAATCCAGTTTGAGATGTAGCAATGGGCACAAAAATACCCACTGATTTTGGAGTTCAGGTCCAGTGGAATGTAAAATAAATTAATATATTTATCCTGGGCTGAATTCATTCACACAGTGGATCTTTTTCAGTCTTACTGTAAATGCAAATGTGGTTTGAGTTACTAAAGAAATTGGATCATTAGGGAATGCAGGTATAAACAGAAAGACAAGGATGAGTTTGAAAACTACCCAAATTAACAACACAGAAAATTTTATCGTAATAGCTTGCTGCCATGATCTAATCTGGCAGGCAGGTTTACGCCACACAGCCACTCACTCAATTTTAAAAGCAATTAGTAAATCATCTTATTTTTCACTCTTTCTGTTTTAGTGTACAGGAGAGTCTTGACAGCCATTGACCGCACATCAGACTTGAATGTGTAATGAAACAGAATTAAGTCTCTGCATACTGACTAAAGACTCACAAGTTGTGAGACATTACCTTGAACAGAAAACAAAGCTGGTGGCAGGTCTCACACATGCAGTAATACCAAACTGTAATTTACAGTTAGGGGGAAGAACATGAAGGCTGATATTTTAAAAAGATGCTAAAAGCTGGCAAATCATATTCCCACTTAGCTTTATAATGAAAGACCCATAATATGGGTAATATGTGTCCCAATGTTCTCAGAGTAAGTGGAAGTTTGTTGATGCATTGGGAAAAGGAAATGGCCCTTACATTTCATACCACAGAGATTCGAACATACTGCCCTTCAGATCAACAGTCATCCTCTACCTGACTGTCCAAGGAAATCAATTAATCCTAAATTAGGGTACATGCACATAACTGGGCCCATCCAGATCCCTCAGAGAGACACTCCCTCAGTTAAGAAGTGAGAGCATGAAACTCTTTCCTAGATTTAGTACCTTAGAAAAAAATCTTAGTTTTTTTCTTCTGAAAATAAAAAATACATATTAATTATTCCATGAGTCACAATGTGTCATCTTTAAGGAGTTATGGGCAAGATCATAAGCAAAAAGGTAAATATTAAAGGACTTTAGCATGTTAGTATTTAATAGCAGCAAAACTGGCCTTTTTTGAATGCCCATGGTGTCTAAGCATTGAGCACCGACATTTACAGGTCTCCTTATTGGCCAAGAAAGTTTCCAGGGATGAGTTAGGGAAAATGATGCTTAATTGCTCAGTCTTCCTGTGGAAAAAGCATTGACTGAAACATTTTCACCTTGGTGTGAGCTCATGTTCATCTGAAGCCAAAACTCAGCAGGAAGATAGTACAGAGATAGTTCAGTCAAAGGAATACCCTTAAATGCTTTATGTTCTTATTTTGTTTTTCCTCTTTTCTGCTCTAAGTTGTAGGAAAAGAGGCTTTACTTTTTCTTTCAAATTATATTCTTACATAAAACTGGAACTAATAAACCACTGATAGGTAAAAAATTATTGGATTCAAAATCACAATATTATTAATTTCTTTGATTTAAAATGAGTAATGATGATTTACACCATAGAATTTATATCCATTGGATTGACCAATTTTCATCAATTATTTTGGATATTATAATAGCACAGGAATATATGCTTCTCTTGTGCTAGGTGGAGTGGAAAGATGCCAAAATCTCTCAAGAGATTTTATTCTTAAAAGACAAGTCAAACTGCTAGTGTGGGAGAAACACTTAGGGGTCAATGCCAGCTATTCAAGGTCAGTGTCAGTCTTTGAGTGGGAAGTGTGGATGATAAGAGAGGTAGCAATTAAGCTGAATACATTTTTTTGAAAATAGCATAGTCAGCTATAACCTTAAAGGCACACTTAAAAATGAGTCTAAAAATGAGTTTAAATATTTGCTAGCTGGAAACTTTGGTTGGTGCAGTGTTTTCATTTGCAGGAATCATTGCATGCTAGATTATAGTACTTCAAAGAGTGAGACTGTTGGTTTTCAGTGTGAAATTCTGCATACACGCCCATTGTTAAGGCACATTTGTTTGTAAATTAATACCCCGTAGAAAAGTTGCAGATGAAAGAGAAGATCTATTTGAATGGTTGCTTGCCCTGACAAAACATGGTACTGAAATTCTTGTTCTTTTCCTTCCCTTCCCCGCCCCCTTTCTCTTCATTACTTGTTATTTTCCTGGAGAGCCAACAGCTGAAATCCCAACATCAGGTAAATATTGTGTTTTTCTAATATGCCTCATGGAAAGAAGTAATGAACATAGCAGCATTGATTAAAGCACTTCCTCATCAGTAAGGAACAGGGATAACATAAAGCAGCATGGGTGAAGTGAGAGCACTGCAGCTACAGAGGTCTCTGCCATGGGCTCTTCTTTCCATCTGATTATGTGATTTTCACTGTTCACCTTCTGCAGCATGTTTTGGTGAGCTAGACACAGGTGATCTTCACTGAAAGGGCTGGTGTGAATCAAGTGACACCCGGGCCAGAGGACAATGAAGAAGGTGTTATTACAACTGGCTGGATGATGCAAAGTGCAAATGAACCATTTGAAGGCAGACATCTATTTTTCTGCTGCAGTCAACAGGGAATACTGAAAAGGGCTCAGGTGCATGAAGTGATATACTTTGCTTAATTTCAATCTGCCTTGATTGGTTGAATGGAGTCACAGACCAAATGTGTTTGCAGCTGGGGAAAAAGAATGAGGAAAAGGAAATAACACATGCTCTAAGTGAATGTAGACTAGGAAAAATACCTCAATAAAATAAAAAAAAAAACCCCTCAATTAAATAAATCACAATCTATTGCTGCAGAACTTCTGAATGATCACATATGGCAGTTCTAAAGGTCCATCTAGCTGCATATCCTGGGGATTTTTGTTTGTTTATTTCTTTCAGGTATTTGAGATCACTCTGGGAGACTAAGAAGCAAGCAATAGGCAGAGTCCCTCCCTAGTGTATTTTGGCAACAAGCAAATAGGTAAATCTAGCAGTAGTTAAGGAATTGCAGAAGTCAAGTGCTAAAGTCTTTATCAGGATTTTCTAAACTACTCTGCAACCAGCAATATTCAAACAATTTCTAACCACTCTACACAAAGCCCAGAACTGCTAGTGCCACTAAGTGTAGCAGGCACTGTTGCAATATTACAGACATTGTAAACATGCCATGAGACACATTTTCCACAATAATTCTTCCAGGGAAATTACCAGTGAGAGAATCTTTGCACAATGTACTTACTGTAAAAGCCCTATATTTCTGATGCCTGTCACTTAATGTTATTTCTTTTCAAATCTTTCTAGCCACAAAAAAAACAAAGACAATTAAGGAAAAAGAAGGTAGGCATTTATTCTATGTGTTCTTATATAAGGAGGAGATCACAATAGAAATAGTATGAGATTGCAGATTTGCATGTATTGTTGCTTGAGGCAACCCCTAAAATATCTTTGTTAATTCTCAAAGAATTTTCCTTGAAAATTCTAGGCAAAATCTATTCAACAGTCAGTTTACTGAACTTTAACTCTGCTACTTTTTCTTTGTAGAAAAAACATCTGTGAAGAAACAGCCGAAAGATGAAAAAACTAAAGGTAATAAAGGGATGAAAATCTCTGCAAATAGCAATAAAAATGCAAACATTCAGGTTTGGAGGATTTTATGGGATTAGAAAGAGGAGCTTTTTTAGTCTTCCTACATACATGCAAGTAAACCAAAATGATGAAATGGTACATAAATCCCCAGTAATTGAATGTCTGGTGTCTCCTTTGCATATGAGTATCACGGATTACATCAGCGCATCCAGTCTGGCTGCAGCAGTGCCCTGCCTGTGACCCTCCCTGGCTGGCACAGCAGGGACCTGTCCAACCCCCAGCACTGCAGCCCAGCATCAGCAGGCCCCACCCAGACTGCTCTTGTGCTCCCCAATGAGGCACTGCAAAGTGCATCTCCACAGCCTGTCTGGTGCCTTAGGTCACCAGCATCATTCCGTAAAATAACAACACTGGTACAAAACAACTACACAAGAAGCCCTTTTTAATACACAAAACAGACTTCATGATCACCCATATTCTGGCTAACTTCTTGGTCACAGCACTGCCTTGATTGTTTCCTCACAGTAATATGCAAATAGAGAAATGCTTTCTGATATACCTCTAAAGATAATTAATAGCAATAAATTACAGTATTTTATTAGGTAAGTGATTAAAGGCATAAATATCTTCTCTACATTGATTAAATGCAATGACTTGCATATAGAATTTGCATATTGATATTTCAAACCTTAAAGAATAGCAGTAGCACTGGTGCTAGTTCACTGTACTGTCTAGAAGCAGTTTGTTTATATGGTTATACTGGACAGAAAATTTATCTGTTTAAATTATTTACTAGGAGCACCAGGCTTTTAAAAAAATCTGGTTTATAGAAATTTTATCTGTGAGATGATTCCTAGAAACAAACATGTTTCTTATTGAAATTTATTTTATTTTGACCTGAAACTGCAGATTAATTTATTACCTATGTTTTTTTAATGTGTCCCACCAGTAAAAGAAGATCCACGACATCAAAACCTGACATCAGGTACATGATTTTTTCTTTATTGTAAAGGATTCAGGGAAGTTGTGGTTTGCTGTTTGGCTTTGTTTGGTTTGTTTTGGGTGGGTTTTTTTTAAGGGAGATCACACTTACAATACTTTCACATTTCTAATTCAAGTCTATGGGACAAGATGTGAGACAAGCCAGGCAAATCAAATCCATAAATCTTGTTCCTGTGAAGAATGAATTGCTGAAATGGTATTGTTTTACTACCTTTCTAAATGTTTAAACATATATTCATCTGATTACCTTATAAAACAAGAGATCTGTAATTAATATGGCACTGCAGTATTTAAAACTAATATTTTCTTCTCACAGAAAATCTTTTCCATAACAATGTCACAGAGGGAGACACACATTCAGTTTGTTTTCTGTCACATTAATAAATATTGTCTCCCATCACAATCTGCCCCAACCCCACTCCAGCAAAAATGGTGAATAAAGATGGGCATCTCAGGAGAAAATCTCCCTCTGTTGTTTAATCATGTTTTTACTAGTTTACAGCAAAAGAAAATATATGTTCCAGATTCTTGACTAATATAAATCAAATTAATAACTATGACTTCAGTGGAACTGCATTAATTCATGACAGATAAGGATCAAAGTCTTTAATCTCACCTGACATCTAACTGGTTTACACAGAAAACATGAGCTACACATGAATATGGTTCCTCCTAATGCAACTTTGTAGGTCTACTCAGGAAAATATTTCACTTCTAATTATCCAGACTATTTTCTTGTATATGCTTACTTGACTTCTTTACTGTAAGTAGAATGATTTATAGTCCTAAAATCATGATATAAAATGTGTAACATATGTGCAGTTATATGTACTTATTTATTTAGAAATAACTATTTATCTATATGTAGAAACTTTAAATCATAGAAAAATAAAAAAAGATACCTAAGTATAAAAGAAGTGCAGAACAATCTGCTTTCAAGGAAAAGAGAGTACAAATTAAGTACTAAATAAAACTTGGATTTGTTACCATGTGCATTATACAAAAGAATTTGCATACATGGCTCACTTTGTTTTATAAGGGCAACAACACTTACAAAAAAGAACATCTTTACTTTTTTTCATCTTATTGTCTTTCATCTGGAACACAAAGATATGGAGTCAGATATAGACTTATATTCCTCTTGATTATTATATCAACTGACAGATACAGAAGGTAGAATCCATGCTGTCAAAAATTTATTGCTATTTAATGACACAGAATTTTTTATAGATCAGGAAATACTAATCATAATATATAACAAGTACGTTAAACCAAAGATTTTTCCCGGAGAAAAAAAGAATTCTCCCATGCATCAAAATCTCAAATTTAGTGTAAAACAAAAATGTACGAAAAATTTTCTCTCACTGGACCTTCTCTTGCCCACCACAAAGTTTACATCGTTCAAAACCTGTGTTTCTGTGACTTTCATTTACATTACTAATGATGATTGTTTAATTCAGTTGTATGTTATCACTGGGCAGTTATTCTTGACTGGATGTTTCTCAGACCATAAGCAGCTTTGTGCAAAATCAATTCTTCATAACTGGCTTTGCAAACAGAACTTACTATGCAAGTGTTTTTAAAATATTCATTGTCCACCAAAAAGAATACTTAGTTTTCAGACAATGGACAAAAGGTTTCCAGAAGAACATGAAAGTTACTCCTTTGGGTGCTGGTTTTAGGTATTTGCTCAAATTGAGAAATTAAAAGTTTAGACTGTCCTAGGTCATGTATACTTGAATTGGAACTTCGATAACTTTCACCTCTTCTGTGTGCAGATTAAGCCAGTGCTTTTTCTCCAGTTCACTGAATATTAATTTTATTTTTCTGATACATGAAAGTAGAAAAGGATTTACACATTCTGAGCTAATCTAAAACTTTAAATAGTAAATCTTCATTCAGCCTTCAAAAGCTGATCATAGAATCCCATGTTCTTAGATTTTGCTCAGAACTCGTCAACCTTTCCCTAATATTAAAAAGCAATCAGATAAAGAAGATTTAGCAATTTTAAAAGCTGCATACAGCTGCAATTTTAGAATGTGCCACATTTGAACAGAATTTTAAGCACTACTGTACCTTTCATAAATAATGGTGCAATGTGCAGTAGACACTAAATTCACTCTCCTACAGATTTGCAAGCAACTCATTAGAATCCTTTCCTCTTCTTTTTCCTCCCTTAAATGTCACAGCTGACACCTGTATTGAGGCTGAAATTTACCAACCGCTAAAAAAAGGGAATTCTTGAAACTTCATTTTTAGTTCTATCTTACAACAAATGTATTTGGAAGCACACAGAAGTTTTTTTGGCTCTTGGAATGAAATTTGAGAGTAAAAATTCAACTCTCTAGTGAGGATTATCTACCATAATCTTTATATGAACAGCTGCACACTTGTACATGTTGTATTTTTTTTCAAGGTTAACATCAGAGAAAGAAAATCTAAATGGATCAAAAGTTCATTATGTTTATCCTAATTACCTTCCAACTGCCCTCTTGAATGAAAACTCTGGAACAAATATATATATTGCATTTATAATACAGTTAGTTGAAGGGGTTGACCCTAATTACCTTCCAACTGCCCTCTTGAATGAAAACTCTGGAACAAATATATATTGCATTTATAATGCAGTTAGTTGAAGGGGTTGATGTTTTTACTGCCCATAGATGTGCAAATGTGGCAGAAATAAAGAGAGGTTGTGTTGCAAGAGCATGAAAAGTGAGAATTCATTAAACTGATAGTATTCCCACATGTTTGGTTTTGTTATTTTTTTTTAGTTAGAAAAGCAAGTGAGTTACTCTCAAGGTCAAGAGAAACCAAACCAGTCATGATAACTTCCTTACAGATGTGTCATAAATAGACTTACATAATTTGTGCATCTACCCTCATACATTATTAGAGGTTTGAAACTTTATTTGATGTGGGAACTATTATACTCACATTTAGTTAAAGAACTTGAACTTCTGTGAAAACTGAAATTAACATTAAGCAGAGTTGGAACACTTCTTATATGAACATACTATGCAAGAACTTTTATGGAAGGAAAAGCACCTCAGCTAGATTTTTCATATACTTCTGCAATGATAGAGATTCTCAAATACAATACCTATTCTCAAATATTTTCTAGCATAAAGAGTAATAATTTCATCATACTATCAATATATATTCAATGCCACATATTAATCACCACATGAAAACCTCAACAACCACAGGGGGTGAATTCATTATATGTCTTTAAAGCATGTGGGAATTGGTTTATTACTAAGGTTGTTTCAGTGCTTTGCACTTTCTGTGTAGTAATATATTTTCCAAAGCAAAGATGATTTCCAAATCTGCAAAAGCAGAAAGTTTTATTTGATGTGAGGTTTGATATGACAGCCATTTGGGAGACTATGAAGGAGGTTTCATCTGTGCTGAGAGCACGTAAACTTGTCAGCAGTGCAATGTGTGAGATTTTTCCCATATATAATTATTTTGAAAGAAACCAAGATGACTTCATCTTATTCCTTGGTTCTGAAGCTTTTGAAGACTTTGGAGTAAAACATTATATTTTTCATCATTGTGGAGTAGCAAGTTTTGTCAAATTCATTAAACACAAACATTGGTAATATTCCATAATACAGAAGCATTGAACGACTTTAAAACATTGTGGAATGGTCAGAAGAGAAGGCAAGAACTTTTTCTCTGCAGTGCAGGTAGCTCTCACCTATAGACAGATGATGAACTGCAGACACTATATTCTCTGCTCTCCTTGCCACCCAGTCTCTGTGTCTCAGATGTATGATGGTTCTGATAGACTCTCAGCAGTTTCTTCCAGAAATTCAGGTTCATGAACTTGTACTGACTAGAATTTTCTCACCAGAATTCAGCAATAAATCACTAATATTTATGTTGTTTTCTGGATTATATTCTCTGCTCTCTTTGCCACCCAGTCTCTGTGTCTCAGATGTATGATGGTTCTGATATACTCTCAGTAGTTTCTTCCAGAAATTCAGGTTCATGAACTTGTACTGACTAGAATTTTCTCACCAGAATTCAGCAATAAATCACTAATATTTATGTTGTTGTTTTCTGGACATAAGAAAGTGTGCTGTTTGCTAGAATATCATTAGAAGGAACTTACACTCTGAGAAGTTTCAGAATTTCATCTAAAAGACCTATTCTCATTTACTTACAAGACCTGTGTCTCTGTAAGTTATTCTCATTAAGATTTTGATCACACTCCAGTACAAGAATTCATCATTAGAGTAGGATGAACTGTGCGCTAAGGCTGCTTGCAGGAGAGCCCATGTAGAACAGCCTCCATTCTGTGGATATACAGAAATGTCCCAACATTTAATGTTGGTCAGAATTGTGAGGACCAAGCCTGTATATGTAGGCCTTCCAGCAACTTGCTATTAGTCATTCCATTATCCAGAAGTTGGCTTTTAAGCAAATACTTGGAGACTAAATTTCATCAGTCTTGTCTAAATGAAGACATGGAGGAATACTGCCCATTTAGAAGATGCATATTTAAAGAGCACAGTTAAACCATGCTAAATGCTGGAGTGGTCATTTATTATGAACTAAGGTGACCTTGATTTAATTTAGTTTAACCTGCTGTGAAATTTTCACTGAGGCTGCTTTAATTCTGAATGAGCATCTGCACAGCATTTTATATGGACTAATTAATCTCTTTTTAATTTACCTTGAATTCATCTTGCTGATTTTTTCTATGCAGAAAAGATGTCCAAGGGGGAAATTTCAGCCAAATTTTGGTAACTAGGTAAAATGAAAACAATAGGATCTGTCCTGAAATTGATTAAATGTCACTGGAAAATTTCTAATAATTGTAATAAGCTTTGAAACACAAAATCTGTAAAGACATATCAAAAGGAGAACAAAATAGCAGGTTTTATGTTAATGATGAGTTTATAAATAGCTTCTCAGCATAGTAAGATTATAATTTAAATCATAAACTCCAGAGATTCAGCTTAAATGCCCAAA